ATTTAATTTAACCCTTTAACTCCCATGAGTGACCGAATCAAAATTTCTCCTTACAATATCAATACAATATCAACAAGATAAGTGATGAGAATTAAGAAAAATATCAATTTGAGGATAATTAGTTGATCCAATTCCAAATTCTCTGAACCAACATTATAAGAATTGTATGGTTTACAGTAAGGAGAATTATAAATTTGATCTGGGAGTTAAAGGGTTAAGTAACCTGACACTAAGTAATGATATCAATGTTTCACTCTTTTTTTAAGGTATACAGGAGTAGAAAAGGGCCCAGCCACATTTGGAGTCATAAAAAGACTGAGAGACAATGATATGGAACTACATACAAACAGACAGGTACCGGTATTTGCAAAAAAAAATTATTGTTAATGCAGTGTTGAATTTTGTGTGAGATTAAAACATGTATCAGACTGTGCAATTTGGACAGAGTACTATTGTTTTTGTTATCACTCACTATGATACTAAATTGTGAACTTGTTGTATTGAGATATCATAAAGTGTATAGAAGTATTTTTTGGTGTTTAGATGTATTCCTGTGGGTCTCTTGCTCCTAAAATGAGAAGAGGAGGTGGATGTGCAGATCATCTTTTCAGAAGACCTGCTGAGCCATGGGAAAGGGCTGATGGGTGAGTTTGAATTTATTAATATGACTTTTAGTGCAAGAAGGTTAAATGATGTATCAGATCATGGATATTAAAAGATTAATTTTTTTTTCAGTCCTTATTCCAGATGGGTTTGTTTAAAGAGCCATAAATGACACCAACTTTGAGTTAAAACAAAGGGGATTTTGGTTATTTTCCCAATTGGATCTAAATCTGGAACTCTTGATTTGGATATTAGCTTACTGTTCACTGTAGCAATGTTCTTTACCACAATGTTTGAAACAACAATTCTGAAGGTGTCTTCAGAGGTTAAGTTGGCAAACAGAGACCAACCTTTTACTTATCCTGAATTGGATTTGCACAAATTAAAATGACTTTGGAGCTTATTAGTATTAAATGGCAAGTTGATAATTGAGAACTCTTTTCCTCCCTCTCCTAGTTGCATGGATCTTGTTGCTGAGCTTTCAACTAATCCCAAGGCTCATAAAGAAGTGATCACCTTAATGCCACTTGTAGCAGAGGCAGCCCACTATAAACATTATACTCAGCATCTACATCTACTGGAAACTGTGTGCACACAGGTAAACCAACTTGGAAACATTATAATGTAATTCTCAGGCATAATAAGTTATAAACAAAATTATCCATTTTTTTTAAATTTTTGTTTAATTGTATTTAAATTTTGACCATATTTTTTTCCAGCTACCAGTTATAGCCAAAGGAATAGGAAAGAATCAATTCAAAAGACATTTTGAGCTTTTTATCGACTCAATCTTTTACAGTCTGGTAAGAACTGTTATTAGTTTTGTTCTTATAATAAATAGTTCCCACATGGTGGCCCTTTGATTGGTGCTCTTGAATCTGGATCATGACATTTTGTAAAAGTTAGCTGTATTTCCTATATTTGCATCTTACTGAAAAAGTATGGCATTTAAAGATTCTTTGTACATGTGAAACTTAGGATTACCCTGTAAGCTAAACTCCCAAGGTCTCATGAATCATTTATGACCTTTGTTACATTTTGTTCTTAATCAAAACTAAATTCTCAAACTGATTGGTTATCACTAGTGTGATTTGGACAGTGTTGTAGGACAGTGTTGTAGGACAGTGTTGTAGGACAGTGTTGTAGGACAGTGTTGTAGGACAGTGTTGTAGGACAGTGTTGTAGGACAGCGTTGTAGGACAGTGTTGTAGGACAGTGTTGTAGGACAGTGTTGTAGGGCAGTGTAATAAGACGTGTAATAAGACAGTGTAATAGGACAGTTAAAGGGACATTTAACACATCATGCCTGTGTAAGCATTTTGCTGAGGTAACTGTTTTTGTCTTTTTTATGAAAACATGTAACAAAATTAATACTTGGTTTCTTTCTCAAATTTTGCCATAGTCTTATTAATTGGTAAGAGGACTTTGTGTTGTCCCATTTGGTCTGTAATCAGACTCGTTATCAACAAATCGGACTCCTGCTTCGAGGTTGTCCGATTTTGTCGATCACTCATATGATTACAGACCGAATTGGACAACACAGACCACTCTGTCCTATTACCATTATTAGCCTTTTTGGAATACTTGTCATAACAATTATCCTCACATCTGGTTTTATACGCATTTCTCTGGCAGAAAAGTGACAATGCACTAACATCCACAGCAGCTTCTGAATGCCTTTCTCAGTTAAGCTCATTGCTGGGTCCTTCAATACTTAGAGGACGGATAGAAATGCACAACCCCAGGTAAAAGAGCTTGCTTTGTCACCTTGACCCTTTAACTTCCAGAAGTGATCAACATATAAGTTCTTCCTATAATATCCATACATTATCCAGCAAAAAGGTTGAGAGAATACTCATACTCATCAGGTACAAGATATTATCTCAATCAAACACCTAATTCTCGTAACCAATTTACATGAAAATGTGTATCAGCTAGAGGTGAGAATTAATAATCAGATCAGGGGGTTAAAGTAAATTCCTCCATATTGTTCTTCATACATTTTCTATGGTTCTGATAAAGAGAGCTGGTTTAACAGTCAAAATATTTTTTGGATGAAAATAATTTATTGTATTTTCCCTAGCCTTAATGTTTTATTCAGGGTTGATACTGTAAGGTGCAATTAAATGCTAGTCACCAAGATCAAAGGTTAAAAAATGAGGGAGGCATAAGCAAAACATGATAAAAACTTAGACCTTGATGTTCAAAGTGAAAGTTGGGGGATGCAAACTGTTGTCTGTTTTGGTGCTGTTGCCAGGAATCCATCATGTGACGGTGACCTTGCAAGAAGTAAATAAATAAGAAAGACTATTGATTTAAGAGAATAAGTAGTAGCCTGAGTAACATGTGCATGGTGAGAATGCAAGCAATGCGAATGAGTGAGCAAATATTGCATGAGTGACTTTTTGCTTGCTTGTGCTGGTTTACGTCACTTGCTGGCATTCGAATGTTATGCCTGTGATGCAGGCTAGAGAGTTAGACATAGATAGTGGTGTGTTGTAACAATTGTAAAAACATACTCAAGTGACAGTATTGCTAGAATATTAATTCAGTACCATGCGATTTGTTGACTACCACTTGCTTTACTCAGTGTAATATTCCTGGCCATTTCACTGATTATCTGTCTTCCTTCCATTTTCCCCCAGTTATCTTGATCTTTTGCCGCCAACTCCACCAGGACATGTGTGATTTACAAGGCTGGATCCAGCACACAACAATTCTTTTTGTTTCCAGGCTCCTTGCAATGCTTTTGCTGTGAATAAAGGAAGGGAAAAAGACAATAATTATTACCTCTGAATCATCAGATTATTATTCTTTCCCATCACTTTAATATGGGAAAGAGAAAATGGTTCTCCATATTTCAGTAAGCTTGGTTGATTGACTTAGATAGTTACATCAATACCAAAGAGTCTATAAAAGAATCTGGTGTTGTTGCCTTAACTCTTAAATTCTTATCATCAGTATGCATATTCTCCACACATTTCCGAAGGTGTTGACATGGAGAATTTGTTTAACAGATTTGTTCTTTATTTGGTGATCATTTTGTTTATTCTCCTTTTTGTGTGTGATTGAGGGGTGATAAGGAGAAATTAGATGCTGGTCACGCGTAGGGGTCAAAGGGTTATAGATTGTTCAAATATCAGACTGATTATTTTATGTACCAGGTTTAACAGTGATAATATCAGGCTGATGTATTGCATGCAAGATTAAAATAATTCCATACAATAATATATTTTTATTCTCTGTTCAAGAGGGTCATTTCTTTCTCCTGCCAAGGACTGCATCTTTTTCATCTTTCCTCCCTAAAATGACCAGTTTTCCAGAGAAGTGATTTTAGATAACTCCATGTTTGATTTCAGTGCTTGACATCCGGTTCTCGTTTTCAACAACAAACTGATAGGGTTGTTATGACCTCTTTGTTTGATTCAGGGGTGATACTGTTGTGAGAAATAAAATACTTGTCGTTCTTTGGATCAAGGTTACTTCCCACCTACAGAAGCAGAAAAAAAAATTTTTTTCTTTTTTTTTTTAAATGAATTAAAGGCAGACATTTTGCGAACGTTTCCAAAGAAAGAATTAAAATCTCGAAAATTGTCCGAGTTATTCAGAAAAACGTATTTCAAATAAAAGTTTTAAATAAATCAGGAAGGTGTCATAATCTTGTAAATGGTGAATCTCCTGGGGGAATTTTGAGTGGGTAAAAGCTTAAAAGGTGACAGAGTGAACCCTTAACGGATTAGAATTTTTTTCTTCTTATATTTTTTCTGTGGGGAACTCATTTTTAACTGGCTTTTATCTGTTGGCATCTTCTTCGCCCGCAAGCTCACTTTAGGGATAGCTGAGGATAATTTCCATGTATATACACCCACGATCTGCGATTGGCCGGCAAAATTATCGTTTCCAGTTCCCTTTTACTGTTGAAAATTCAACATGGCGGCGGAATCGTTGTTGTTCTTTTGTGTACTCCAGTTATATTTAGCCGGGTTTTTTTCGTTATCACATGATCTGATCCATGAATATGACGAGATGATACGACATATTCCACTAGAACCATCGCATATCTTAAAAAGACGCTCTGTGGACCAGCCACTGCGAATTTCGCTGGACTTTCTCAACATCAGCAATTTAGAAAATCCCAGCATGGTGAAAGATATTTTACAACAAGCGCAAAGCTATTTTAGTAGAACGTTGAAAGTTCGAAAGACAACGACGAATATTCGTCTTCAAAGGAGTTGTCCTAACCAGCTTTTTTTCTCTAAAAACGCCGATGGAAGTGGACCAGGGAGGGTCAGATTTTGTCAAGAATCATGCAATTCTTCTCGAATATTATGCGGACCAATTGAAATTCCAGAACACGATTTGGATCAGTGTAGGGTTTGTGACAAGAATGGCCAGAACTGTCGCAACGACACAAGACCTGAATTCACTGCTGGAGAAGGACACAAGGACGCAGATTTTATTCTTTATGTTACAGCAGTTACTCATGGGAACTGTGGAAAAAGCTCAACGACTTTAGCGTATGGTGCGGCTTGTCAACAAGAAAGTGGACTGGATAGACCTGTAGCAGGATTTATCAACATATGCCCCAAAAGGGTGACTGCAAGTGAACTGAGAAGCAGCTACAGTGAGGTGAGAGAGAGCTCGTCAAAGGTTGCGATTTTGAATTGTCCCTTTCTAGAATGGCGTCTTATAAAATTTAAAACACCAAATTTTGAATTTCATAGTTTTTAGGGAGTTTATGCCATCACCAAGGTAAATACCCTTTAAAGCAATTTTCAATTGGGTGTCAACTGTCATTTGTTTCTACTTTAACTTTGCTCTGTGATTGGTCTAGAAAACTTGCTACACCCTCTCAACAATCAAATGGAATCCTATAGATGTAAATTTTAAAAAAAAGTTTGACTCGTCTTTGACATTTCCCTGTATTTCAAGCAGTTTGTTTGTTTCCATTTTAAGTTCTCATTGGCCAGTGATAATGTAAACCTTTTTTTCTGATTGGATTACTCTTTTTTTTAACAATATGAAATTTGGTTGCAGTTTGTACCATAGTCTACTCTCTGACCATCATGCTCCAGAATTATTTTAACTAAATGTAGTCGTGCCAAATGTAGTCATGAGTTACTGTAAAAACTTGCGTATAAGCCACACTCATGTATAAGCTGCACCCCCAACTCTCAAGCATGATTTTCGAAAAAAAAAAAAAAAACTCCAAAAAAGCACTCTTGTTAAAAAAAGTTGTTTGTTTGTTTGCAGATGTTCACGATAAACTTAATGAAATCTAATGTTGTGTATTTGCAGTGACATTAATACATTAATAAGTTACTCAACTCTGAAAAAACCCTTTTTAAAGCTTTTTTAAATCGATTTCCTTATTTGCTGTGACTGACAACAGTTGTCTTCATTGCTAAAGCCCACAGCTTAAATGAAATTGGAATTTGAATGAAATTAAAGTGCAGAAGAACGATGCAAAACATTTGCATGGCAACCATGTGGGAAGTCTGGACAGTAGAGACAAATAATGGTCTTGTTTATAGGCCCCACCCACAATTTTTGGCTCAAAACTTAAGCAAAAAGGTGCGGCTTATACACAAGTGTTACAGTTTGTTTTCCAGCTGCAGTCTTTAGTTTTTGATCCACTGATAATCAAAGAAAACTTTATTCTTTAGGTTTTGGCAACTGTCAAGCATGAAATATTCCATGCTCTTGGATTTGCACCATCATTGTATGCATTTTTCCGCAATCAAAGTGGTGAGCCGCTGACTGCTCGTCGCTCTAATGGACTTCCAAAAGAGTACGATGATGTCCTAAAACACTACAAGTGGAGTGAACAGGTCAGGCTTTTGACACATTACATTGAGGAGTTTCTACTTTTCTAGACTTAGGGATCATGTTTATCTACTTAACTTACAATGTAGCTTGTGATGGATTGTGGTCAGTAGTGGTGACTGATGTTTTGACAACCTGAGCTGAAGTGATCATTAGAATAAAGTTAAGAGATGTTAGTTAAGCGCGATGAGTGTGGTTTGGGTAAACTGATTGTCCAGTTAAGTTGTGATGTTACTGGCTATAAGACTCAAGTGGCATGAGTTGGTCGTGTTTAGTCAGTTTCAATCCATGGGTAATGTTTGGTGGTTTGTTGTAAATTTCATTACAATAAAGTCATCACTATGTTGCTGGCAACTGTTGACTCCTATTGAGGGGAGTCTGTTGACTATTGTTTAAATTGGTGATATGTAACACACCCCAATCAAATCCAGCTGACAGGATTCAGCTGCACAATCAAAGTTTTACAATGGTTATTTTGGGTTGAGTGAGTGAGACAGATAGGGCTGGAACTTGGGAATAATTTCACCATCACTGACCCCTCCCCACCCACTGCTATAGCTGTTTGTCTCATCTACAGCCTTAGTAATTGTGTTATTGTCTAACCTATGCATTATGTGCATGTAAAGTTTTTATTTCTTTCCTCAATCCAATATTGGACTTAAATTTCTCATTCTATTTATTTAAGTCAGTATTATTGTCTCCCTAAATCCTTGCAGTGCATCTTACTCACAAGTCAAAAGATGATCAGCAACAAAATCAAGTGGACGCTGTGCAAACTCTTTTTTAGTATTTGTACATCGCTGACTTGTTTTGTCACTGATTTTTAGCTCCACAATGGATATTAACATTGTAACTGTTAACACAAATAAAATCCATACTGATTTTTAAATCATGAAACCAACAATAAAAACATTCAGTCATATTTTAAACTGCACTTAACTACAAAAAAATTTAAACAGAATAAGAGAGATGGTAAGTTTTGTGCTCAGTAAAAAAATAGAGAAAGATGTTTTTCTTTATGTCACAAGTGTGGGACAAAGAAAAAAATTTGAGTCTTCATAAGGAATCAAACCTCAGACCTTCAGATTCTGTACTCTGATGCTCAAACACTGAGCCACAGAGACTCTATGCTGAGTGCAACCTATGAAAAAGTTCATATTACATGTGTCCTGCATACTGCTGGAATCATCAATGTTGATAGCATCATGTCTGTTTTCTCTACCAAAAGACATTTTTCTTAAAATTACTCTAACTCTGACAACAGGCTCAGGTTGGAGATGGGTGCTATAAGCAGTCTCCCCAAACCTAGGGCTGATCATGTGACTGAGATCTTGATCTTGCACTATGTCAATAGTCTTGGAAGGTGGTTGTCATAAATGTAGGTGTTACATGGTAATGTTTTCCCAGAGTGAAGGGGTTAAACACCTAATTTTGAGTTTCATAGTTTTTAGGGAATTTTTGCCATCACAAAGATAAATACCCTTTAGAGGAATTTTCAGTCGAGTGTTAAATGTAATTTGATTTTACTTTTATTACGGTAACTTAGCTCTGTGATTGTTCCAGAAAACTTGCCTCACCCCCTCAACAATGAAATGGAATATTAAAATCAATTTAGGTTGAATTTCCTTCCAGACTGTCAGGATGGTAACGAGAAACGATTGGTTAACAAGGTCTGGTACAATGCAACACAATGTTTATATGATGGTCACACCGAGGGTGAAAGAAGAAGCACAGAGGCATTTTAATTGCTCAACTTTAGAAGGAGCTGAGCTTGAAAACCAAGGAGGTGAAGGTACAGCATTAGCCCATTGGGAAAAGCGCTTGTTTGAAAACGAAGCCATGACGGGTGTTTTTACACAGAATACCGTGTTTAGTCGAGTGACTCTGGCGTTAATGGAAGATACCGGCTGGTACCTTGTCAACTATGAAATGGCCGATCCTTTACGCTGGGGAAGGAACTTGGGTTGTTTGTTTACTAAAAACAGCTGCGCTGCTTGGATGAAAGCTCAGAAAACTGCTGGAAAGTCCATAGCTCCATTCTGTTCTAAAATCAAGAAACAGAGTGACCCACGGACTGGATGCTCCCTCGACAGAACATCTGTTGCCTCATGTAACTTGGTAGAATATGAACAAAATCTTCCTACTGAATTTCAGAATTTTTTGCCCGGTTTTATTCCGGGAATTTCCGAATCAGAAGACAGATATGGTGGGGCGGTACTTTTAGCTGATTATTGTCCATTTTACCAAAGTTTTACATGGACACAGAAAGGAGAAGAGGTCAGAACATCTTCTTGTATATCACAACACAACGCTTTACCGTATGACCTGAATTATGCATTGGAATTCTACGGCATTAAATCACGGTGCTTTGAACAACGAACAAAGTGGATGAAAGAGAAATGTGGTACACGGTACACGGCTGTGAATCATGGAAGCGGATGCTATAAATTTCATTGTGAATCTGATGCACTGAGGGTCGAAATCGCTGGTGGCTTTAAATATCCATGTTTCCATGAAGGCCAGGTTTTGGATATTTCTGTGCAAGTCGACAGTTGGAGCTTTCAAGGAACCCTTGTTTGTCCATCATGCGAAGAAGTTTGTTCTGACAGTGGATTTATTTGCCCGGCAGAAATAAAGCCTGCTCCAAAGAATTCACAACCAGTATCCAAAACATCACCAGTGACTTGTTCTGAATGTTCCATAATAATACGACAGGTCTTACATACCCAGTTGCTTTTAATGATTGTGTACACGGTTTTTAGGTATGTTCTTGAAGCTTAGTTTTTTTTTCTTGGATTTTTTTGGATTTGCTCCATTTTAGAGAAAAACATTTCCACTCTGACGGCTTTCATTTTTCAAATTTTGAGTTGTAACTGTTGTTAACCGTGAAACCGTTGGCTTTATACCAGTGATTCAATTTACTTTCCGTCATCAACAAGTCATTCCTCTAATCCTGTAATGTGATTGGCCACTTTTATTTACTGCACAAACTAATCACACTGGCCAGTCAGATAAAAGGACGATGTAGTAAGGAGCCAATCAGAACCCACGATAAAAATAAGCAAACCGCCAGAAGCGCGGGAAAACACCAGCGACCAAGTTACGATTGGTTGTAGTTTTACATTCACAGGAACTATTCTAGAAGGTTGCGTCACTTTTAAACTCCAATCACAGAGCAAACTAGAAAAAACACCTTTGCAAGTTCCACTGAGTGACACTACAATAGTCGCACCGTAAGAGTCTGAAAGAGATAGGGAAAAAACAGTTTTCCGATAGTTACAGGCCACAACGACGTACGCGCGTAGAAATTAATTACATGTACCATTCACTTATGCCAGTAGCTTTTTTTGTACTGTTAAAGTGTATCTCAGCTTAATATAGTATAGGAGTAATTTATTCCTCAAAAAGGAAACGGAGCAACTTCAGAATACCCCGCAACTCATTTACATGTCATTGAATAAGAATAGCGTCTATTGTGTTATGCCTCGATCTTCAAAGCCTCCCGACACATGTAAGTGAGGCGGACCAAAGTTGCGGGGTATTCTGAAGTTTAGCCAAGGAAACTAGTAACATATCATTTACTACCCTTTAATTTTAGAATTATCAGATTATTTTGAATATCACGTTCTGAGTTACTTTTGCAAGCAAGAATTTTTATAAGCGTAATTTATTCTTCGGAATAATTATTTTAAATTGGCAAATACTGGATGAATTGTATTGCAATGTATATAGCAAATTATTTAAAATTTTATTATTTTACTTGAATCCACGAGCACCTTGTTTTATTTGCGCATGAGCCTGCAAGCTCGAAAAGTGCTCCGCATGAAAAAATAACCGTCTAAATGAATACTGTTAAATAAAAATTCGATCAACAAAGCCAATTATACTCTTGCTGTTGAGATAGGAAGGTTTGGATGGCTGTGATGAGTCACTAAGGACCTTAAGCAAACCACGACGGCGACGGAAACGAGGACGTGGAAAAACAAAAGATCTAATTGGTAGAACAATAGCTCAGCACGTGCATTCTAAAACTTTGTACATTTCTTAGCCGTCCTATGCAAAACAACGTGAAATCACCACAATTTGCGTCGCCTGCGAACCGAAACCGCGACGGCAAATTATTTTAATTTTCATTTAGAACTCAACGCTTCTATTAAACGTTTTGCTGAAGTTGAGGTGTGGCTCCGTATGGGACGGTAAACAAATGCAGCTATTTTTGAAATTCTAATTAAAGGTAGAAATTCATTTTTCAATCGAAGTCTTCCTTGGCGTTGCCGTCCTGACTGCTTAAGGTCCCTAATGAGTAACTGAAAGGAGAATTCATTGTGTAATCTCAACATTTCATGGCAATAGAGACGATAATGATAATGAAAATGATGACAATGAAATGATGTTTGACGATGGAAATGAGTATAATGCTATTAATAATAATAATAATAATGATATTAATGACGATAAATATAATGATAATGATGCTAATATTTCCAAGTAATAGTAATTTCCATCAATAACGATAATAGTAAACAATGATGTTGCACTAATGCTCAAAGTACAAGCGCTTTGCAATCACAAAATAAAAACTACTAAACTATACCAAGTTTCGTAAAGATTTTTTCAAAAAAACGATCTTTGTTTCACAACATATACAAGCGTTTGCTTTTCCCTGACATCAAAGCGATTTATTCCTGAGACCAGTGATACAAAAACGTCCGGAACCAGAAATTGATAGGGCAGGTTGACACGAATAAGAAGAAACGAAGAAAAATTTTCCGAGTAGGGGAGATCGTTTGCTTGTTGCGCAGAGGGGCCCTAAACAGACGGACGTTTGGATTGAAGTACAGCAGCACAGCCGAGAGGAGAACGGGTTGGACTCTCAACCCAGAGGTCCCGGGTTCGAGTCTCGACACAGTCGGCTGGATTAGTTACTCGTTATTACAGCTCAACCCCTGGAACGCGTTTGTAAATGGCGAACTGGTTTGCCTCTTGATTTGTTGGTGTTCTACATCATCTTACATTTGATCTGTATTACTAATATACAATTCTTAGCGTGTTTATAATCATCGGACAACTGTGAAAACCAGTGGGTCACCAGAAATTCTGACATCCTCGGAAGTCATTTTTATTTTATCTTTTCTCAACACGTTTTTCGTTGAAGGGAAAAGTCCATGGGGTACATGGGTATAAAAAAAAATCAAAATTGATTAAACATGTGTTATTATCCTTATCACATCTAAGACTTCAATTAATGCAGTTTTATCCTTTAAGCCAATTGTGAATGATTCGCTTATCTGCCCGAGTAACCTCTCATCGACTCTTATCAGTTGCCTGCGCAGACGATTGTCAGTAACAGTCGTGGAACTCTTGCCTTTCAACCTTTAAAGCTTTAAGATTGACAAGCACCTAATCTCTCCAGACACTATTACAGCGGAATCACTCGTTACAGTCTTGAGAATAAAGGAAATTATCGCTTCAAGTAGTTTAGACGCTCGGTATTGTTTATCAAATCCGCCATGTCAATACAATAGGATAGGAAACAGCATGGAGAGAAGATCCCATCGTGCTTTCACAAAAGCTGCAATCTGACTGGCTCTGCAACTCGCTGTTTATTCCCTGATAGATAGTGAGTATTAGTGAAGAGCCTAAGAGTGTGCGCTGTAAACAAAATATTTTTAAAAAAACTGAGCCTATGGTTTTTTTTTTCATGTCGAACGACTAATAGATTTATACTAAAACGATTAGATCATTCATTCACGATCTCTTTCGTGATAGTCGCGCTCACCAACCCTCACGCGATAGAAATCCGGCGATCAAGCTAGCTGTTGGTTGGAATTCAATGAAATGTCCTAGGTGAGTCAGTATGCATTAACATTACGTGTCTTTTCTTGGTAATGCTGTGACACCTGAATGAAAATCGAAAAAAACTTGAGAAATTCCCATTACAATTTACAGTCATTTGGAATTGGCACCGCAAAAAAAAATTTTCCCCAAGGAACAAGCAAAATTGCGAATTTGCGAAAGTAAAAAAGAAAAAAAAGGAAAAAAAATCCCCAAATTTTTCATGCTTCATTGTTACTCGATTAGAGCAGAGTAAGCTGATTAATATGAAGTGCCCGGTAAAACAGAATTTCAACAGGTGCAGCCATTGAACGCACAACTGTTTGGCCTTATTTACTGCCTTTTGGGGGGGAGGGGTGGTAGCGGAGAGGGAGATCATTCGTCGCCAACAGAATGTAAAAGGGAGACTAAAACTGACTACCGATGAAGGAGGGGGGGGGGGATGGGGTGGGGAATCATAAGAATATTACAGAGCCTTATGGGGGATCGGGTAAATTGTATCGTGACGCAACCAAATTCATTCGACTCCTTCCCGATCCCCACCCCCCAGGCGATAAATAATGAGCAGCCTTTAGGGATCCCTCCTTGCGATTGATGTAAGTCATGCAATGGCGGGAAATGAAGACTAGTTAAACACACTTTTCTTGTGGTACTTTAGTCAAATCGCTTGAATTGCCGTCTAATCATTTTTTTTGTGGGAAAATTTTATTCTGAAATTTTTAAACTCAAATTTTATTAAATAGATCTATGAAAAATCACGCGTAATAACTTGTAGCATGTTGGGTGAATATTTTTGACTATCGGCACACTTCACCATTTGAACTTTCAGCAAAAAGAGTCAACATATACTCTTGTGAAAATTCAATTAACCAACTCAATGTACAACAAATCTCAATTTGATAGGATTCCATGTGTCCCGTGTCAGATGAAATGGTAACTTCTCGTCCGGATCAAATAGCTTTGCATGACCAAAGCACTTGGGCGATAAACGCATTTAAAGATTATATTAACACGGATAATTTACGGTCTAATTGAGACGCACGATATTTTGTAATTGAGCTTTTATTTACGTTATGACGTATTTTAGATTCCAAACATTGAATAGTTTGTAGCGTAAGTTTGCTCTGAGTAAGGTAAAGTAAACTTGCCGTTTCGCTTCAGATTAAGGTGGGGACTAGGGACGAGACTGCGAGATGCAGCAGGTTGTTAGAACTGGGATAACATAAGAGGTTCTCGCCTAAGTAGTGTCTAAGAAGGATTTAGACCACCAGGTTCTAGAAAAGGTGAATAACCATCCATAGTCGCATTCAGGAAATTCCTAAAATTGGTCAGGGTTTGGGTTATCTAACAATTATTCTTAACTGAATTAAATTACGAATTCGTACATAGTTTAAACAATTAAGCAGTCTCAAGTATTTGATTATCTAGCGGTTGATATTTTTTTCAACCTGAGGCTTTAAGAAAAAAATGTTAATTTTGCTCTGATCTTTATGTTTTTGATGAGAGGAAACGTATAGACGAGAGACGTCCATGTCTTGGCTGCACAGAAGGAGTTTTAAATAATGTTCTAGAATATATGTGGTTGTAATATAGTAGAGGTAAATCACGAAACTTCAATTAAATGAAGATTTAGCTTCTGGTCTTAAATTTCTTGGGAAATTTTAAATCAGTCAACTTGACAGTTCTTTTGCGTTGATTGAGGCCTAGGAAAGTCTTTGTTTTGTTAGGATCTTCATCAGTTTTTCAACGCATCAATTGATCATTTATAATCACACAGGGTTATTTAGAGGTCTCAAGTGAGGTCGAAGCCCGAAATAACTAGCATTTTATAGCATAAGGCATTTAATTCATAGACAAATTTGCTTGTTAAAATTGTAGAAGTGGTTGGATCTACTGTGACTGACCTTGGTGAAGAAATCTTATAAATTTGAATTAGTCCAGCTAGCAGTTTGATGTAATTAGATTCAGTTCTATTCAAGCAAGGTAAAGATTTGCATTTGTTCATTTACTTACTAATTTAATTATATATTTGTATGTCAGCTATCACTCTTCAGTGGATTTTAAACAAGGTTAGATGATATGGAAACAAGTAAAAACAAAGAAAAAAAAGACAGTATATTAAAAAAGAATTGCGGACATGCGAATGAGACTGAATCTTAACAGAATGTTAATGGCCTTAGAATCTATCTAGGCTGACGCATACTGATAATTGGTTTTACCCATGACATTCCCGGTCTTGAAAAGTTGATACTTGTGACAACACGACAATGAGCATTTAATTAGATTGAAACGGCGCCTTACTGATTGGGAGTGATAAAAACAGCCTTTTCGCGAACTTCTCTTAAAAAATCCTCCAACGATGGTTTACATTTCTCTGGCGCGCGAGGAAAAATGCGTTCAGAATTTGACGAGGATTTCGATAACTCTTGAGCGGCCAATAAACAACAAGCAAATTACTCCTACGAGGAAGAATTGCTCGAGATGTCAGCTTTCCAAATTAGCCACGGTCATGTATCGTGTATCTGCCTTGATCAACTTATCATGGTTGTTTATCAACAAAGTCCCGCGACTAAGCACAACAATTTTTCCATAGGCTAATAAATTTGCTCGTTTTCTTTTGATAACAGTACAGTCGCTTTATGTGCTGTGGAAGCCTCTTATGATTTAAAAATAATTGATATTTGTGATAGGAAGCTGCTTGAGTGAGAGTGGGTATATATCTCGTAACCGGAAGAGGTGGTCATGATGTTGGAAATAGTCTCACGATGAACTAATTAGCCTCTAATGATCTCATAATTTCGTTAATTCTCCTCCTATTTTATTTTGATCATAATACTATGTTAATATTTTCGATGAATTTCGATGCTTCTCAGTAGTTTCTCTAATACTATCGTTTGTTTTTTTTTTTTGGTCAACACTTATTACCCATAACTCCCCTGTGCCTTCTTAAGCCATTACGTCAGTGGTATGCTAGGCTTGGCTTTCCCACAATGCCATTGGCGGTGATCTACCATATTTCCGATTTTCTTCGAAAGCATATGAGGCATTGTTTTTGCGTAGAATCATCGATCGAAGATTGGCCAAAGCTGCGGACTTTAGCCGGTCTATGAGATCTCTTAAAAGCCAGTATTTCCAAACGAAGACTAGCCTTCAGGAAATTGGACCGACGGTGTAACACTTAAAGGATTTTGGGTCGTCACGACTGTGAGACTTCACCATGTCCATAGAACACAGAAGCGGTGTATAATCGAGTGAGAATATGCGGTAGTCTGTACGCCCAACTACATCACTTGCTAATTGCTGGAAGCGAGGACAATAGAACTAATCATGGCAGCAGCGAGCGAAGCACCAGCCGAAGAAAGACTAAAACAATTAGAGAATGTATTCTCTTACGGTGGAAAAGAGAAAGGGTCTTTTAGCACTGAGACCTTACTAGACATTTTACTGTTGTTGTACGACGAGTGTTGTAATTCTACCCTTCGTAGAGACAAAAATATCAGTGAATTTATTGAGAATGGTAAGTGGAGAATCAGCATTGAAACGTAAAGCTGAGCTTGTGATTTATGACAGCCGAGTTATTCTAACTGCGATAGTTGCCTGCGAGCTTGGTGGCTGATGTATGTGTTGTTATGTGTTCATTGCAGTGAAGCCGATAGCGACGAAGATTAAAACTCTTCGTTTGCGCCGAGAAGATTTCGATCCCCTTACCTTGATTGGTAAAGGAGCATTTGGAGAAGTAAGAATCCTTAATTTTTGTGGGAAATAAAGTTTTTCGCCCAAGCTTATATTATTCTCTTCAGCACAAGACGTGAACTTTCCTATCGAACTTTCCTTTATAGGTGACTGTGGTTCGCATGAAATCCAATGACAGAATATACGCTATGAAGACTTTAAACAAATGGGAAATGTTGAAAAGAGCCGAGGTGAGTAGCTCATTCATCTATTCAGTGAAGTATTGTTTAGTCTTTTGGGTTAATTTTGACCCGACGATTGGCTCCGCTTCGGTCTTGTGGAAATTAAATGAGTTGAAACTGCATGTCTGAGAAGTGTACATTCTTATTTTGACACTCTAGCGATCCACATTCGTTTGCTAAGCGACTTTACAATTGATCAAATGTTGATTTTTGACAAAATTCAGCATTCGTATCTGTTTGTGAAACACGGTAATTCTTAATCCTTTATCGAACGAATAGAAGTACAGAAGTCTCTAATTGGAGCACTCTGTGGTATTCGCACAGTTTCGGTTTGCATTCGTAATGCACCGGTGCGAATTTAAATAACCACGTTATGCCAAAATTATTTACTTTCACAAGGATTCCCTATGGTCAGAATACATATCAGTGTTTGCTTTGTAAGATTTTCTGTGGCGAGGAGAGTCGATATTTCCTACTCACAGCTGCCTTTATTTGATTTCATGCTTAGTTTCGATGCTCCATTAGTTTTGAGTAGGAAATTCTTGTGCTCTGAATCGTGAAGCACTGCTTTTGTGCATATTCATGTAAATGTATGACTATGTTTAGATAAAAAAGAGAGTTAGTTTCATATAGATCAAGGCTCAAGAGTTTCTTTTTGTTACTTCGTCAGTGTCAGAGGTTATATTGCGAAAAAAATACAGTGTTATATTCACCTCTGCAGACAGATGTGCTCGTTTTTCTTTTGTTTCATTGATTGTAATTCTTGTGTCGTAACTTCTGGAAAAACGGATAGACAGCTGAAAATATGCTATCAATGGTTGCTGCAAAGTGCATCACCTTTATCATTTCCACGAACAATAAGAACAACCTCACCATCAGATGTACAGGTTGAACATGGAATTTATAGCATGAATTTTAGCCTTTAAAGAAGGGGTGTTTTGTTTGGGAAGATGACAGATCAAGCTAGAGCAAGTTTGTATTCTGTTGGCTCTATAAATAATTGAACTCATTCTTCAATACAAGTGTAAAGTTAGTTTAGAAGTACTTAACAAAAAATGTCATCCACAGCATGTCAGAAATAGCAACAGTGAAATGTTTTGTTGTATGTGACCAGTTCTTTAGTACATGCATGTTTAATTCTAAATTGTGGAATAATGTGAACTTTTTCCCTTGACCAACCAGCACACTTCAAATTGTGAAAATAGGTGCAACACTAGAAATTTGTGTAGCTTTTCTTTTACTCTTCTTGTTGAGTGGAGATAAAGAAGTATGCTTCTCATGTAGTGATTCCCAGGGTTAAGACAATGAAATATCCCGGTGCATGGCATCTCCTTCTTGTAAATTTTATAAACAATGCAAAATATCAAAAGCAATGTGACAGCTCTCATTTTAATTTCCTGTCTTTTTGTTTTGACTCTGTAGAGTGTTGAGAATATTCTAACCAGTTTTTGCGACAGGTTCAAATTACTATGTTGGTCTTATCTATAAAATGTCACATTCCAGCATTCTCTTGTTTTGTCTGAGATCTTAAAGTTTGGTTTCCACTGCAGTGTCAGAGTCTCTTTGTCAATAACATGTAGTACATGATATGATGTTTATTCAGCAACACAGCCTCATTTAAAGGTTGTCAAATTCACTGCAAGAACCAAATACAAACTGAAGTAAAATGGTGCCGTAAAAAAAAATATATATATACATACTTGCCTTTTCGGCAAATTTCTTGCATTTTTTCAGAACCATTAAAACATCCTCCCATATCTTTTGTTTGTAGTTGAAATAAGAAAGTGTATTTAAACCCACAGTATATTTACTTAGTACAGCAAGTATGTTTTTAATTTGTCTCCTTAATTTAATTAACAAGAAACCAAGTAATTGTTGTACAAGCCACATTCTAGATAAGCATCCTGTTTTGCATTTTTCTTCCAATTTTTGGCTGCCAAGAAGAACATTTTGTTTGGTAATTCTTTAAATAACATTATCTTCTTCTTAAAAGTTTATCAAACCTATTTTTAAAGTGAGCTAAATTTTATCCATTACACACTTTTTTTTTAATTCAGTTTGTAATAATTCTTTAAGCTTATGACATTAATGCACAATATGCCTTTGAAATTCTGTTTAAGGTGGTTTTCATTTACAGCTTACTTTGCACTTTACCTTCAACTGTATTATAATAACCTGTCAATTAGCAAAGTAATTAATAACTGTCTTGAAAATGTGAAAATCCTGATAGCAAACATCTTGAATATATTTTGTTTGTAAGTGTTTCAGGCATTATCAAGGTTTTAAACTCGTGATCTTCAAAGGATTAAATTGTGCCCAGTGCTAAGTCAAATTAAGTAGTGTTTATTCTGATCCATTCTCAATAATGGAAGAACATGACAAGTGATTGTTAGGCAAAGGAACAAAACCGGAAAGCATGGTTGGCACATGACCCAAGTTTGACAAGAATGACTTAATTAACCGGAAGTATAGTTAAATATTGTTCCACTCTGGTGATTTTTTTCTACTCTTCAGTGAAAAGTTCCTGTAACCCTTTCACAATGTAAAACAAGTTAATCTCATCAAGGGTATTACTAAAACCTTTTTTTCACTGAAATTTTTGAGAGTAGATGTAAAAGATTCTTAGATATAGTTCTCACCAATGTGGAAATTGCATATTTTTATGCCAACAAAATCTGATACAGTTGAACCAGTATCAAGTGGTTGGTCATTGAAGTAGGAAAATTCCCCCCCCTCACCCAAATTATTGTTGCAGTAACCATTACATCTATTAAACAGTCGTGATCACCCTTGATTGAATCCTAATGGCCTGTTTGTACAGTCTTTACCAGTATTGAATGGTCAGTTAAAGTGTAATCACTCAAATTAAAACAATTAATAATATACTTTTATTTGTTTGTTCTATTGCAGACTGCATGCTTTAAAGAGGAAAGAGATGTCCTTGTGTATGGAGACAAGAAATGGATAACTACTCTGCATTATGCATTTCAAGATGCTGATTATTTGGTAGGATCGCAATCTTTGTTGCAGTTTGTTGTGCACCTTACTACATTCAAATACTAGCTTCAGGTTTAGACAAAAATTGTCTAAAAACTGTCTTGTAGTATTGATTATAAGTCATTGCATTCAGCATTTTGAGTTGTGACTGTTTTGATGGCTCTGGCAATCACAAAAATGTTGCAACTTAATTTGCAGCAAAAGTTAGTATCCCAAAGATATTGAAAATGATTTTTTAGGTATTCCTGCACTCTGCATGGTGATTACAGCTCCAAGCTTTTCAAAATCAATGTTTGGCAACCTTAAATTACAAATTGATCATTGGATAATTAGTTTATCACATTTTAAATCAGCAACTTTCATTGCAAATTCAGGTGCCAAAATCTTTTCTTAATTGTTACAGCTTGGAGTGCAAGTGGTTACCGTCGTACCCATTTTGGCTTCAATATCAGCCTGATAGGTTAATAAAAAATATTTTTGTTATTGTCACTGTTATGGCTTAACCCTTTAACTCCCAAGATCTCATTAGTAATTCTCCTTATTGTCTGCCATACAATTTATATAATGTTAGTTTGGAGAATTTGGAATTGGATCTACCAATAATCCCCTAATTGATATTTTTCTTTATACTCGTTACTTGTCTGCTTGATATTGTGGTGATAGTGTAAGGAGAAATTCTGTCTTGGTCATGAGTGGGACTTGAAGGGTTAACAACTTAAGGTTCAATGAAGAAGGGGAGGAGTGATTGGTGCCAATGTTTATTTTGTTTCTTCAATAGTATTTTGTCATGGACTACTACAGTGGAGGTGATCTTCTAACTCTCCTCAGTAAATATGAAGATCATTTGCCAGAAGAAATGGCCAAGTTTTACCTGGCTGAAGTGGTGTTGGCTGTGAATTCAATACACAAAATGGACTATGTGCACAGGTAGGAAATGCTATCTATCTTAGTGCTCATTGATTTCCAGTGGGAAGGTGAATCTGCTTTAGGCTGGTTTTCATGTGTCATTAAGATCCCAGACAATCATGGAGTGCATTTCTGAAGTTTGGAATGTAATGGGAAAATAGAAAATTTAATGTTCCCAATTTTCCATATTTGTTGCTGACCATCCTAGGAAGTTGGCATTCTTTATGAAAATCTGGGATGGCCAGGAAACAGCGAAATTGTTAATTGTCTCTGATTTTCTGGACATATGAAAACCAGGCTTTGCTGGTGTAGCAGCTTAATTAGTTGCATTCAAGTTTTACTTTACAATTCTTTATAATGCTTTGTAACTCTTGTTTTTCAGGGATCTCAAGCCTGATAATCTTCTTCTTGATGTTAGTGGACATATCAGGTTGGCTGACTTTGGTTCCTGTTCAAAGCTTGGAAAGAAGGGCACTGTAAGTGTTTCCTTGTCTTGTTCTAATGTTAAATTTGGAGATAGCATGCAGAGTAAGCAGAATTGGCCTTTGTGAGGACCATGACGATTGCATTGCAGTTCACTCTGAAAAAAAATTACAGGATGAATACATAACCCTGTTAGAGGCAAGACTGCCCGGTATGAGTGAACGATTGAGGCTTGTGGCCAGCATTCCTTTAATTCTTACCTTTCATCTCCTGGAATGGTCATCTGATAAATACTTTTTACAACTTAGCTCTTTTACTCCCAAGATCTGATTGTTAATTCTCCCCTCTAGCTGCTACATATTTCCTTGTAAATTAGTTGTAAGAATTTGATGCTAGATCAAGATAATAACTTCTACCTGATAAGTTTGAGTATTCTCAGTACCTGTTAGCTGGATAATGCATGGCTGTAATAGGGAGAAGTTATATGTTGGTCACTTGTGGGACTAGTAGGGTTAACAAGTGAAATGAACTGGGAGGAGAATTTAGAATAACAAAATCAGTGTAACAGGTAATTGGCCACTGTAAAGAGTTTTAACTCTGACATTTCCAGTGTTAGCCCTTCAGAGCAATTGATTCAAATGAAATATTGTTTTGATTCAACAACAAGTTCTCATGAAGGTTTTATAAATATTGCTATTAGTTAGGAGGATTGGGAATAAGATTTTGAAAATGAGAGGGTTAACAATGCTTGGATTGCTTTGAACCTTATACCATACAAACTTCACATTTCCCTTTTTTTTTTTTTTCTTAGGTGAGATCAGCTGTTGCTGTGGGTACCCCTGACTATATCTCGCCTGAAATCCTACAGGTATGGTTATGTGTCAGTTTTATACTAGATTTGGTAATTTGGACACAACGGAATCACACAGGAAAACCAATGTATGCATTAATGATAAATACCCTTGTCAAGGACAGCCTCAGGGCTCCAACAACCTCATGACTGCTGTTACAAGTTTCAGAATGCAAACAAATGCTTTCTAAATGCTAACAATTTGAAAACACCTATAAAATGTTACCGGCCAGATTTTCTAGTCATTATTTATGTTAAATTCCATTTACAGTGTAACCCTGTAGCATCTGAGGGTGACTATTTTCTATTTTCTCCTTACAATATCACCCCTAAATTAAACATTTAGGTCACAAGAATAATGGAAATGATCACCAACTAAAGCAGGGTTCAACACCTGGCTATCTGCATTACTAACCACTGGGCTAGTGATTTCTAAAATTTACTAGCCTGAAACACAACTTGGAAGCCTGGATTAATTTTCCTTGAGGTCTACTTCAACCCCAAACACGCAAATCTTCCCCTTATTACTAACCCAACCAAATTTTTACTAGCCTCTGGCTACCAGGCTAGCTGAGATGTTGAACTGTACAAAGGAGCTCTTGTTCGTGAAACAAATTCATCTCATCAGCATCATAAAAAAAATGTATAGAGAACAGTATGGCGAATATGTATACTGATGTTATGGTGTACAGGGTTAACTTTATTTAAAGGTTGTTCCCTAGGCACATACAAGGATTTATGATTATTGTCAAAACTATTTCCACTTCACCCTTAAAACCTTTTTTCCTTTTTTTATATCTTGCGCAGGCCATGGAAGATGGGAGAGGAGAATATGGAGTTGAGTGTGACTGGTGGTCCTTGGGTGTGTGTATGTATGAAATGCTTTTTGGTGAAACTCCATTTTACGCAGAATCTTTGGTGGAAACCTACAGCAAAATTATGAGCCACACTGTAAGTTTCTAAAATTTAGCGAACTGTTGCCTTTTGCACCAAAATTAAGAACTAGTTTGTGTAAATTTAGTAATATGACTGATCAAGTTGAATGTTATTTGATGTGCATCCCTCAACAAAATTGGAATTAAGGGCAACTATAGCTAGTTAAAACTTATCAATCAGAGGAATGAATTCAGATATGGGTAGGTGCCTTTTTCAAGGGTTTTTTCACTGGTAAAAAAATCCATTGAAATTGGAGACAAAAGTGAAACCTTTGTCAATTTGGCTTGATAGCTGTAACTGATAGAGGAAGCTTAACCATTCTCAACATAATTATGTAAACCCAAAACCAACAGTTTTGACTGAGGTAAGGATTCCTTAACTGTAGTCAAGCTATTTGGAGTAAAATTTGGTGCTAAAGAATTTGGGTGCTGAATGTATGTTGTCTCTTTTCAGGGCAAATTCAATTTTCCTTCTGATGTGGAAGTGTCAAATAATGCCAGAGATTTAATGCAGAGGTTTGTCTGAAAATTTTCAATCATTGAGGTTTAAAGTGATGTCTATGGCTAACAGCAGGAATGGATTTGCATTAAATTTGAACTCACCTGTGTTCTGTTTATCTCACAGACTGTGCTGTAAAATGGAACAAAGATTAGGTCAAAATGGAATTGATGATTTTCAAAATCACCCTTTCTTTGAGGGAATTGACTGGGACAACATTGGTGACAGTAAGTTTATGCTAACCTGGTAGTGCTTTACCAGTAGTAAGTGGGAGGGGAGGGGAGGGGAGGGGGGACATGCTCATTTCCTGGACTTCAAGAAAATAGTTTCACTGAAATGATGGGTGGGGGGAGGGGGTTATTTGAGAGGGAGTTATTAGATTGAGAGATTCATTAGAAACTTGAAATCTATATCATGGGCTTATTAAAGCATTTTTTGTCATTGTTGTTGCAAGTTTATATGCTATTGCACTGCAAACTGGGAGACATGTTATCAGACCTCTAAGACTATCATTTGTCTTTGACTATCAAAAATCAAAGTACTTATCATTTTTGTTTCTTTTGGTATTTCACAGCTGTACCGCCTTACATCCCTGATGTTAGCAGTCCATCAGATACTTCAAACTTTGATGTAGACATTGATGAATCAAGAGCAAATGTATGTGCTGTGAAATTTGACAAGTGGTCTAGATGCTACCATGCTATTTGTTTTTTTAAAAGTCAGGCATCCAATTCCTTTTTTATATGATTTTTTTTATAAACTGTTTCAAAGATGACTTGGTTCATATATTTTTACACTAACAAGAGCACTCCAAAGTTAACCTTTATTGTAGAAAAAATTTACAAATGCCAAGACTTACCACAAATTTGTATAATTGTTTTTTCCTTAGCTTCAAATGAAATAGTTTCAATTTAATCTTCAGGATGCTATGAGGCCATCATCTGTTTCCCCTTTTACTGGACATCATTTGCCGTTCATTGGATTTTCATTTACAGATAATAGGTATGTGAACTTGTGGAGTATCTTGGATTCTGGGTCATGGTCTTAAGACATTTGGGGTTCAAAGAGAGAATGTTTTCTGTTTCCTTTGAGTGTAAGTAAGTCCAGTTGGATAGTGAGTTAATGTACAGTGTAAAACTAACATCATTACTGCTTTTTTTCTGCACTAGTCGACTCTCTGATAAAGCTCATTCTGTGATAAAGGAAGCTGGGCATGTCACTCTGGAACCAGTCTCGAATAATGGTAATTTGTATGAAATGCTTTGCATCTTTGATTTCTTTTTATGAGTGGCATAGGTCAAACAACATCCAAAACTAGTAATCTCTGAAGTACCTCACTCTTATCAGCAATACTTCCATTTAATTATTATGACTTATAAATTGGTAATATGAATTTGGTGTACGTCGAGATAAAACCAGCAACCTGAAACTTTTGTTTATTCTTGTCACCTTTTTTCTGATTGATTAATAATATTTTACTGATATTTTTTAAATTTTGTCAATAGATATTGTTGATATTTTGACAAAAAGTTTCATATTTATTACCTCTTGAAGCTAAATCGTGATGGTGGTTAGTTTTCAACTCTAACACTTTGCCCTTCTTAAATTTAATTATAACATTGAATCTCAGTATGATTTATATTTTTAAACAAGTTCCTAGCTCACTATCTGTCGAAGCTTATGAAAGAAGAATACAGAGGCTTGAGAGGGAGAAATCGGAACTGGCCAGAAAGCTTCAAGGTGAGCTCCTCTTTTGGCAATTTCCTTTTATTCATAAACACTTTTGGATGGAGAGGCACTGTAAAGTGTGATCTCTCAGTTGGGAATCAAAGCTACACCTCTTCAGTGTTCAGTAAAAATTAGGCCATCTTTTTTTTCTGGTTACCTGCACTACTATCTTAATTTCATATAAATTGTTTTTTAGAATCCACTAAAGCATTGCAAGATCAAGCACTGTCTGGTGATGGTTCCAAAAGTGACCAAATAGACACCATGGAAATGAAGAGACTTAAAGACGAAATGACATCAATGAAGAAGAAAGCCATGGGTAAGAGGATGCTCGTTGAATCTTAACCCTTTAACTCCCATGAGTGACCAAAACACAACTTCTCCTCACAACATCAACGCAATATCAAGCAGACAAGTGATGAGAATAAAGAAACATATTGGTTAGGGGATTATAAGTTGATCCAATACCAAATTCTGCAAACTAACATGACAAGAACTGTATGACAGTCAGTGAGTAGAATTACTATTGAGATCTTGGGAGTTAAAGGGTTACTTTTTTTTTGCAAAAACTTAGTGTAGACCTTTCTATTTGCTCTTTGGGAGTCATTTGATTTCTCATGTTCTCTTAGAGGATTTTTTTGAGAATGAGGCTCATCAGTAACATTTAGATGATTGAGGTGCCACCCACTATTTTTCTTCTGCTTTTCTCCCTGGATTTAATCAAGAACGTATTCAATCTACATTTCTCTGGTGAAAATGAAAACTTGGACAGGCTTTATAATTTGCAAGCCTATCCCAAATGAATAAAAATTTATTTTACAGTTTTTTAATTGAGATGGAAAGGGAAAGGGCCTTATTGGAGAAGTGG